CCTACCCCATTTCTAGTCTTATCTCTCCCCGAATACCACAACTTAAAACCTCCGGGATTAATCTCGCGTGCTTTCTCTCCAACCCATTTAGTTTCTTGCACACACATAATGCTGATATTCCTTCTGCTCATAACCTCGACTACCTCGGAAGATTTCCCTGTAAGAGACCCAACATTCCATGTCCCAAAACGCAATCTAGCATTCCACCTTCTGTTCTTAGCCCCATCTCGGACCCCACCATGCCCTTGCATATTTGACATCATCCCCGGGCAATGGGATGACGCGCCGCTTCTGGGCGGCGACCTAGCAACCTTAGCATTCTTATCACCACACCCAGGTCTATCGAGTGTAGCGCGCCCTTGCATATTTGACACCACCCCCAGGCGGAGGGATGACGCGTCACTTACGGGTGACGACCTAGCATTAGCGATTTTCATATTTCGATTCATGTCATGTGATGTGACTAGGTGATACTGTTGGCCGTCACACGCCTACCACAACACCCTCCTCCTTTATCCTGGCTTGGGACAGGCATGATACCAAAAAAATGATATCATGGCGGAAAAAAACACAAAAACGACTTGAAAAAAATTGAAAATAAAAATGAAGAAATTGGGTTGCCTCCCAAGAAGCGCTTGATTTAATGTCGCGGCACGACGTTATTTTTTTTTCTGTTATGTGGGATCGTGAACATCCCTTGTTTCATTTTTCTTTTTCGGCCTTCTCCAGTAAGTCCGGGATTTCTTCTCTGGTATCACTTCAATCCCAGGTGGGATCCATTCTCCTTTTGAAAATTTGAACAGTTCTTCTTTTTCAAAAAGTGTGATTTTCTCATATTTTTTCTCAACAAAAATATTCGGGGTTTGTGGTTCACAAACATTTAGAGAACAAAGAGATTGGTCTTTAATTTGTTTTTTCGTAGAATAAAAAATGTTGAATTCTACCTTTTGATCATCAAACTCTAAAGTTAACGAACCATTAGACACGTCTATTTTTGTTTTTGCGGTTTTTAGAAAAGGTCTACCCAAGAGGATGGGTGTAGTTTGGTTATTATCTCCCATTTCCAGAACATAAAAATCCACAAGGAAAATCAAATTTTCTACTTCTACTAGCACATCTTCTACTACACCCTTCGGGTAAGTATTAGACCGATCCGCTAGTTGAATCACTACGCTAGTTTGATGTAGTGGGCCGAGTTGTAAGGATTTATATAAGGAATAAGGAATGACATTTATTGACGCTCCTAAATCCAACAAGGCCTTAGAAAATAAGGTATCCCCTATTTTGCAAGGAATAGTGAACATGCCTGGATCGCTACATTTCTCAGGGAGTTTCTTTTTAAAAATGGTCGAGACACGTTCACTAACTTCAACCTTTTGTTTCCCTTCCAGTTTATTTTTCTTTTTCATTGTGCATAGTTCCTTTAAGAACTTTGCATAACGGGGAACACTTTTGATAAGTTTGAAGAGTGGGATGTTTACCTCAGAATCGACGAAGGTTTCGTAGATGTCCCGATCATTCTTCAGCTTCCTCGCGTCTTTCAATGCCTCAGGGAATGGAGAGTGGTTCATATGATGACAGTGGAGGGAATTTAGTTTTCGTTGGCTTCTCCTCTTTCGGTTGAAAGCCTTCTTCAAGATCAACCTCTTGCTTCTCCTCCTCAACTTCCCGTGGTTGCAATCCTTTACCGTTCCTCAACATGATTACATTGACATGTTGTCTTGGATTTTGCTCAGGTTGGGAAGGGAGCCTACCCGAATCTTTTGCTTCAAGTCAACTTACGGCACTTGAAATTTGGCTAACTTGAGTTTCCAAAATTTGAATGCTCGACTTGGTTTCATGTTGGAATTGCATCATGGTTTGTTGGAATTGCCCCATGCTTTGCTGCATTGTTCCCATATTAAAGGGCAGTGCTCAAATCATGTCTTCGGTGGACATACTCGAGTTCGATGTTTGGCCTTGTGGTTTATATTGTTGAGGAGGAGGATTTGTTTGAGAATTTCCGTACCTTAAATTCGGATGATCCCTCCATCCCGGGTTGTAAGTATTGCCTTGAGGATCGTACCTCCTTTGACCTTGGAACCCCAAAGCATTGACTTGCTCGGAGTTATCTTCTTGTAGCGTTGGGCAGGAATCAGTGGGATGCCCCTGTGTTGAACATATGCCGCATACCTTGGCTTCTTGGGTTTTCGGATTTAAGAGAAAATCTTTTACCAAAGAAGTCAAGCCGGCCACTTGACTTTCTAACGAATTGTTGGATTCCGCTGCCATGACTCGTTTTGATGATGACCTCCCGTTGTAATGTCTCGAGTTTTCGGACAACTCCGAAATGAGGTCTCTTGCTTGAGAAGGGGTTTTGTTAACAATACCCCCTCCGCATGTCGCATTCACCATGCGTCGATCTTGATCAACAAGTCTATCATAGAAGTAGAGGATGAGATCTTGTTCCGAATACCCATGATATGGGCAACTAGCACATAATTTTTTAAAGCGCTCCCAATATTCATACAAGGTCTCATTATCTGCTTGCTCAATGTTGCTGATTTGCTTCTTGAGACTTGAAGAGATAGATGCGGGATAGTACCTGTCAAGGAAGCTCTTTTTCATTTGAGCCCATGTATTGATGCTCCCCGAGGGAAGATAGAATAGCCAATCTTTGGCGGTGTCTTTGAGGGAGAATGGGAAAGCTCTCAGCTTGATTTGCTCCTCGGACACGCCATTTGGGCACATGCTTGTGCACACAATATGGAACTCTGACAAGTGTTTGTTTGGATCTTCCCCTCGTAGGGCATGGAAAGAGGGAAGTAGATGAATGAGCCCAGATTTTAGCTCGAATGTGACCCTCGTATCAAGAGTTGGAAAAGTGATACATAAGGGTTGTTGATTTAGATTCGGAGCCGTGAGATCCCTCAACGTTCTTGTTTCAAGAGCCATATTGATTGGCTCTTCGGTGTCGCTAGAATGAGAACTAGCATTTGATGATTCCTCCGAAGAAGTATTCGGAAATAAATTCCTAAACCTCTCGAAGGCTTTTTCTGTTTCGGGCTTTGTTTGGTAGGTGATTTGGTTTATAGATCGGTGTTTAACCATATACTCAAATAAACACTAGTACAAAAAAGGCTTTTCACATCGGTCAAAAAAGGCTTTTCACATCGGTCAAACAGCCGATGTGGTTCCAGCACATGTGAAAAGTATTGACTTTTGACATCGGTCAAACAGTCGATGTTAAAAAATTTTCTACATCGGTCGTTTAGTGCCCGATCTAGAAGATAGGCCGAAACGGCGTTTTTAATGATATTTCACATCGGTTATAACCCATGTAAAAAAGAAACCACATCGGTTATTTTATAACTGATGTAGAAAAGCTTTAATTTTTCCCGGAGCATTGGTTTTTCACATCGGTTATAACCCATGTAAAAAAGAAATCACATCTGCTATTTCACAACTGATGTGAAAAGCTTCGTTGTTTTTCGGAACATATGTGTTTCACATCGGTTATAACCCATGTAAAAAAGAAATCACATCGGTTATTTCACAACTGATGTGAAAAGCTTCATTTTTTTTGGAACACATGTGTTTTACATCGGTTATAACCCATGTAGAAAAGCAATCACATCGGTTATTTCACAAATGATGTGAAAAGCTTCAATTTTTCGGTATTTTTCATGAAAATTTTTTGCAATATCACCCCTGTTTATACTATAATCACATCATTAACAGTATCATCAACTACTATAGCACAATTTTTCACCTGTTCACTTGATCCATCTAAAACAATAACACAAGCTGTTTTTCAATTCTTCCACAAATGTTAAACAAGTTCAAGTAACAACTTAGTACATAATAACAAGCTAAAATAAAACAATCCTTGCACAAGTCTAGAGTAATAACACATTGTACTTGTTTAACATCATCACTCAAAAACTTAAACAAACATGTTCATCATGTGTCGTTGATGGATTGCGTCATTTCTAAGAAGTATGATGCCCAACGAGTCCGTACTTCATCAATCTCTTCTGATGAGAATGGTTCCGGATTGGCGAATCGCTACAAATTAAATAAGAAGGTTATTAAAAAACATTACATGTGGAGCAAACATATTGAATGTAAATAAAATAATAACGTACCTCATCCCACATTTCAAGAATTACCGCTGAAACAATATTCAACATATGCAACATTACATAATAACCACATTCATAACTCCCAACTTGCATCCGAGACTACAAATTAGAACAACATACTTACTAATCAGAAATTACGGTATTCGACTTGGTACTACACAAATGAAAGTAAAAATAATATACAAAGTAAAGTAGTAAGTATTTACCATATGAATAATCCATTTCACTCTTCCCTTTCTTGAGTTGAGTCTACGGCTTGCCTCCATTGCACTATGTAATTTATAATATTATATATATATATATATATATATATATATATATATATATATATATATAAAGAGTTGCCAATGATTCCTATATACATAAAAAAAAGGATAAAAGACAAACAATAATTTTTTTTAAAAAAATAATACATAAAAAAATATTTACTATAGTGTACACTTCTTACTCTAATTTTTTGAAACTTTTTATCCAGTTCAGGGTGCCAATTGGAGCTTTTTTAGTTCAGGGGGCGAATTGAGCATTACAGACGGGTACCCGGACTTATTTGACCCTTTAGCCTTTGAGAATCTAGGGTATTGTAAAACTTATTTATTTCATAGACTCAGACAACCTAAGAAACTTGATTGGGTTAAAATTTGACTCGATTTTCTAGTTTGTGTTGTTTCATGTCTTCATAGGAACTACTAGCAATACAATTCCACATGCCCAATCAAATAAAACATCAATCAACAAATTTATTTTTTATTTAAAAAAACACTTGAAGAAACCAAAGAAAATTGAAAAAAAATATGCATATAAAAGCTAGGTAGTAAGTAGTGTTCGGAGTAAACTGGAGAACAATCAAATGAAGAATAAATGTCAACCAAAAGCTTGCCTTCAACTCGTTTGGTGTCATGCTTGATACTTGTGATGCATCTAGCTCCCCAATTAAGAGACGCCGGGCTAAGTGTGCATTATTCTGGTCATGATAAAAAGGAAAGACAATTGACAAGAAATTAAAAAAAATGTGATTAAAAATTTAAAAACTTCCTGCATAGAAAACATTAGCAACAAATGTCTACGTAGGTTAGTAAGTTATGCCCATTATCCCTATTAAGCAAAAAACTGATCATATCACAAAGTATATGACTAGATTTGAGTATGTAAATCCATATGACATAAATATGTTGAATTTTTAGAAGAAACAAATATGCAAAACTAATATCTTACCTTAATATTAAAGACTAATTGCCGCATCTTTTGGTTGTACTTTTGAAAATCTGAGGAAAGTGCATCATGTACAGCTCGCTCAAGAGAAACTGTAGCAGGAACAGCGCTGTCCGGCCAATGAAAATTATTCTCACCCTGTAGAAGGACGCAGGACGCAGACATCAATATATCATCTTAAAAAACTCATAATATACCAGCACTCTAAAAAAGGAAGGTATGAAGGTATAATAACATATTAACAATCAAATGTTCTATCCTTACATTTGAATTGTTGTCCTCATCCACACCTTTTGATGAACTAGTTTTAGTAGGAGGATCATTATGACCAGAAATACCTCTTTCATTACCATCATCACCATTCAAGGGATTGCACATAAACTGAATCGCTTGAAGGAGCTTCTCCAACCACCTGTTACGGTGATCAGCATCAGTCAAGACATTGAAGCTTTTAAGGATTGTGAAGTACTCTGATGCATTGCACGCAGAGCTTCCAGGTGTTTCTGTTTTAAGAGATTGGCCACATCTGCTAGGCACTTCATCATCTCTCGATACATCCAGAAGATGAATACTCTTTTTCCTTAAAAGACGTTTACTCTTCAACAACTGATCTTCATTGGCTGTGAAAGAAGGGTGGTGGTCTTCAGGTTCTATGTCCGGAAGATCGCCAATCTGTGACATAGTTTTCTGAACAAGGAGATCAATCTCATGTTGCTTACTATCTTCATAGTCCTTGTCTGTTAACTTGAAAAGCTTCCTCTGTTCTGTGTCATACACTTTTTGTACGATAAATCCGGGATGTTGTTTGCGCTTTGGGATCTGTTTGTTTAAAGGAATGAAGTGTACCACACACTTGTGCATCACAGACTCAGCATGCACCTCATCACGGTGAAAACTATAGAATAACTCCCTTGTATCACGTGATTGCCAGTTTCCACCTGTCTTTTTCTCAGCTTCCTCAGGCCGATAAAACCACTGCCCATTGACCATCATGTTTCCTTTACTGGTCTGAGAAATATCCTGCAAGCACAAAAGTGCTAATTGATGTGAAAACATAACAATTTCTTTTGTTGGGGGATTTTGTATGGGAGTGGAGGATTTATTTTTATATTGCTAATTTATTTCTCTATGTGAATCTTAGATTAGAAAGTAACCAGTATAATTAAACCATTTATTTCTCCAAGATCCTTCACGTCCACTTTCTTTGACATCGAATGTAAGAATAAAATAATAAAATGAATACTACCCCTTCCCTTCCTTCCAGTACTTCTAAGGAGCACATGTGGTCACACTTTAATGTGGAAACATAGTCATGCGAATATGCGATCCATGTGGATACTAATATACTATGTCAATTTAATAGGACGCACATGACTATTTCCATATTTGGTAGTGTGACACATTAATTATTCCCCTTCAAAATCCCCCAACCAAGCAAGGGCAATCAGATACTGTAAATCACCAGCAAACTCAGGTTTCATGCATAAGAGGGAATACATTTCAAGTTCTATGCTGAAAGTACCACTGTACCAGTTTCAAAGAACAATAGACTCCAGAATATGTGATACTTCATGAAAAAATATTGACTGGTGCTACAATAACCATCCCTTTGAAGTCAGTTTGACTTTGAAAAACTCCCTTCGTCCTTAAATAATTGTCTTGTTTCCTTTTTGGTTGTCCAAAAATAATTGTCCTGTTCCTTTATGACAAAGTGGTTCATATTATTGCACATTTTCTACTAAAATCTTGACCACATCTTTTACCCTTTCAACAACTTTACTAATAAGCCTGCCAACCAAAACAAGATAATTAACTCGTGACGAAGAGAGTATAAAATAAAGGGTGTGAGACATGGGTGATTATGATTTAAGAATTCAAAAAAGCAAAAATGAGATGCAGCACAAAAGTCAATTCACAATATGGAAAACATAAGCCATCAAGGAACCTTGGTAAGATAATTTAAACAAACATTGGATCTCATATGAAAAATGAAATCATTACCTTGATAATAGCAACATAAGGTTTTTGATTTTGCTCCTCTGGAACTAGCAGCAGTGGATCCTCCTTCAACATAATAATGTTGAAGGAATAATCAGACAATATGGCAAGGGAAAGAAAGGAAAGGACATCCAACCATAAACATTAAGAAGACTGTTTACATGATTTTCTACTGTACTCAGAGCACATTATATTATAACAGTTCAGAATCAGTACTTTAGATTAGATGATCAGTTAAATGTGATCCACCATTTGCAGATTGAGCAAAATGCTCAGTTCTATAATTTAAAATCTACCTACTCTATTTGCAGATTTTTTGCTTCTTATGCATTTTACTTTTGTTTACTATGGCTTACTGATATAGTTATTCCAATGAGAGAATAAACAGGTTTCTTATTCAATTTATCAATTTTAATCAACGGTTAGAATGAGAGAAAAAATAGATTTGGTGTTTACTTCTTATTCATTTTACTTTTTTACTATTGCTTACTATTATTGTTTATTTTTGTGGAGTTTTAAAGCAATTTGCTATTATTGTTTCAGTGAGAGAAAAACAGGTTTCTTATACAAGTTATCAATTTTAAGGAACCGTTAGAATGAGATAAAAAAACAGGTTTGGTTTATACTTCTTATTCATTTTACTTTTTTACTATTGCTTACTATTATTGTTAATTTTTGTTGGCCAGGAAAAAGATTGATGTTGGGAGCTAGCAAAATACATGGGTTGTGGAGTGTGTAAACTTTCACACTCCTGGTCATTTTACCTAAATAATTCTCTACAACAAATTATACATCTCCAGAAAAGGAATTAAATGAGATTAAATGGAAGGTGCAGATTGTGAGTTTGTGACTAACACAAGTAACCGAAGCAATAAGGTTGGTTTAACTTTTTCTTTGTAAATTCTTTATTTTCTTGACTGATCTTTTCTTTTACTAACTATAGGTTAGTTACAGATAAAACATCCTTTGAGTTCTTTCATTTTCTACTTTAAATAGTATCAAAAGAGAATGGTTACTCAAAATTGACAAAAACTCTATCATATACATATTGATGTTTTTGTATAAGGAGCACTTCACAAAAATGCCAGATTTTGGTAGAACAGATGCACTATTGCTTTCCAATTTTCTTCTTCTTATTATTATAGACATTAAGTTGTTGTTTTTATTTTGTTAGGTTTTAGGGAATTTCGATTCAGATAATTAATAATTACGACTACAAGCATATAAATTCACATTTCTAAATTGACATGTTGTCAAATACAATTTATGTTATCACATTAAGTGATATTTCCATAATCTATTTTTTCAGCATGGATTAAAAATATGTGATGTTTCATATACAAACATGTAATATTTAGAGTGACCTCTTATTTTAACCTTTTAAACCCGGTTGTTGGAGTGTAAAATCTGACAAATCTTAGTCAATTTACATTGTTTGATACTGTTTTACACTGTTTTGATGTAGACAATTTGCCAAATAAGGAAGGGAGAAGAAATGTGAACTTTATTTTAGATCAGCCCAAAAAGAAAAGTGTGAATTTTATTTAGGACGGGAGGAAGTATGTAGCCATTGCGCATACAAGTGGTCATTTGCGAAAGTACTCCGTAGTTTCCTTGTGAGACCGTTCTTGGTTCTTCATTGGGGGCATTCTTTTTTTTTTGTGATTGGGGGCAAACTACTACTACTTTCGTTCTTAAATAAATGCAACATGTGAAATTTTACACTATTCACATGTTCTACTTTGATTACATTTTATTTATTGATGTATTAATATATTTTTTTGAAAAATATATTATTAAATTTGTCTCATTGTAAATTTTCAAAAACTAATTTTTTAATTTTTTTTACTAATAGAGAATTATATATATTAATGGTCAAAGTTGTGTCTTGGCAAATGTGAAATGTTGACTGTTGCACTTATTTAAAAACGAGGAAATATTTCTTACTGAATTAAAATTGTATAATACTCCCTCCGTCCCAAAAACAACTTCCCACTTTCCTTAAACGGATGTCCCAAAATTAACTTCACACTTTTTCTCACTTCTTTATTTGGCAATTTATCAACATCAAAACAGTGTCAAACAGTACTAAACAGTGCTAAACAGTGTCCAAATAATATTAAAACAGCGTCAAAACAGTAAAATTTTGAAAAAGTCAAACCAAAACTTTAATCTACCTAAATGTGTGTGCTAGTTTTTTGGGACGGAAGGAGTACCGAAAGTTCAGATTTTATTGGGGGCATGTGCCCCCATTGGTCTATCCGCCCCTGTCTATTGAGCACTCTTCAATTCCGACATCTACGCTCATAGCCAATTCGCATTCATAGCACATTCGCATGTTACCGACTTAAGAAACAAGAATGATGGACAATTTCGGCATTTCATTCTAAATTCGGTGCTACCGTATTCCAAGGAAAAGTAGTAGTCCTATAATTGTAATTTTCATACGGAGTATCTTTTAATCTTATTATTATGCGAATTTTCTCTAAAATTTCCTTATTTTGACAAGGTACCCAAACGGGCGTTCGCTCAAAATACAACGATTCTGCTACTCTTCCGCCTCTTCGGATCGGCAAAAAAGAACACAGCAGAGACGAGGGACGAGAGTCACGAGACAACTAGCTGCACCGGAATACCGCTGCGACCAGCAACCGCACCGGGTAATATCTTATTTCTGAATCCATAGCCCTTGAAATTTCAAATAATTTTTAGAACAATGGTTATGATTCAAAATTTCTGGATCTTTTGGCATTTGCTTTTTTGATAATTCCTTTTCGTATTTGTTATCGACATGCATTTTCAGTGATCAACCTATTTAAAGATTTTATCTAGACTGAAGAAGAATAAATGAAGTATTGCTTCGCTTATCTCTTGAATTTCATCGGTAATTTCGACACTGTGTCCGCAGATTATTTATCAAAACACTGGTTTGTCCTCCAGCGATGGGGACTGTTATTGATTCTGCAAACAAGGTAACCCATTCCGATGTAATTGCGAACTCAATATCATCCCATCATCCTACCCCACCCCAATGAAATGTTTACAATTTGAAATAATAGATTGCCTCCATTACTGATGACTTTAAAGGCTTCTTTGGTTCTTGTGTTTCGATGGGGTGGTTAGGGATGAGTGATATATTTATTTCTTAAATTGTTTTACATTTAGAGGGTCTAAGAGAAAGCTTAATATGAAACATTTTATAGAGATGCATTTTTGAACAACATATATTGATTTTAGTTTAAGACTATCAAATAGAAACTAATCAGTAAAACAAAACCCTCCTCTGAAATCGTCTTTCCATTCAATCCCATAGGGTTCTAGATTGTGGATTATTAAAAAGATCTTTACTCATTACCATAGACATTACAGGGATTTCAGATTCCAAAACTGCCTCATGTCCTTTTGCTGGATTGGTGAGAAAATCTGAATATTTCCCACAAATGGCATAAATTTGATGGCGGCAGAAAATTTTCTGTAGTTGTCTTACAGATGTAGTCCTGTAGATGTCCTTACAACATTTTGAAGCCAGAATAACCTATTATATGTTTAAAATTTTGTTTGATAAATACTCTTTTATTGCAGGGAGAAAATGGAAGCAGCACAACTAATAAAAAGGTTAAGGTTGTCTTTGTTCTAGGTATGCACCTGAGTTTTACCATAAGCCCTTAATCATCATCATATTATAAGCTGCCCTTAATCATCATCATATTATAAGCTTTTCACATTTCACATATAACAAGAATTTAAGGTTGAATGCCTTAGGTCTGGAAATTTTATTATTGACCAATTTGGCAAATCAGATCTTACTTGATTGTGGTTGTGTCTATGAACTTGGATTTTGAATGAATATTAATCAACTCAAAGTTTGTTGGTGAATTATTAGAATTATTAGCCTTTTTCTATTAAGATTCGTAATCTTGTGTTTTATTAATGTACACTTGGACACTCTTTTACATTGCAGGTGGACCTGGAAGTGGTAAAGGCACACAGTGTGCAAAAATTGTTGAACATTTTGGATACACCCATCTAAGTGCTGGAGATCTTCTTCGAGCAGAAATCAAGTCTGGATCAGAAAATGGGTAATTTAATCCTTTTTTATGTGATCAAGTGATAAGACTACATTTGTTTCTAGAAACATATTCTATGACTATTTTTGTTGGCACTCAACAATGTTGTCCTTCATTTTTTGAAGATGTGTGGAAAACAAGTACAAGGACTGATCTGAATTTTTTTGTGGCCTATCGTTAGATTATATTATAATAGAAAAATGTATTTGTCATTTATCCTTGTTCCTTGTAGTTCTTTAATAGGTTAAACTTTGCTTAGTACATCATCAAACTAATATATTACAGAGTACAATTTATTATTCATTACTTGTAAAATTTAAGGATTTCTATATTTCTAACTCTAGTTTTCACAACATAGTTGTTTTGGGTATATTATTTCATCAAAATTTGGGACTATTCTTACTTTCTTAGTGATTCTTGCACAGTGGCGGATCCAGCAAACTGAACTATTGAGGGCAGAGCAAAAATGTCATACATGAAAAACTGTAATAAAATACATGAGAGTTTCCAAAATAAGTAAAGTATATTACAATATAAAAACCGTAAAAAATATAATTTCTATTTTCGAGATTTCATCTTTTGAAAGAGATATGCGGATTATTATAGTTTCATTTGTGAAAGTTTTCAAAATAGTCACTAAACGAGTAACAACTTAACATAAAGCTTTGTCATCTTGTATACTATACTCTAACCAATTAAGGTATTGAACAAACCATTTGCAATTAAATTATCTCAAAATCTTCTCTATCTTCTTTTGTGGAAAGCCATGACCATGTGGTTGGAAAGTACTTTTAATCAAATATTTTCTCCGAGTTTCATCCCTTTGATTATGATGATATTCATAATCTTTTCTTCTTTTTGTGGGCTCCGAAGGAAGCTCATCTAAATTCATGAACATCATTTCATTTTCATTTTGTTGCTTCCCGGGGTTTTAGTCATCTAATTGTTATTTTTAATTTCTCTATAATCCTTGTATTTCTTACTCTATATTTCCAAAATAGTTTTGGGCATTACACCTATTGATTTTTCACTGTACAAAGTCCAGCACAACAAAAAATAAATGTGATTCTAGAATAGTTTTTTGTTTTTTATTTTAATTCTAATTTAAATTACAATTTAAACATTATATATTCTATGCATAATACATAATATAATTAGGAACAAATAAATAGTAAATTAGTAATATATTCAAATATGAATATTCAAACTGAATATTCGGATGTACTCAAATATATTCAAAAATTTAATCAAATGAAATAAATATACTCTTTAAGGTTCGAATACTAAACAAATATAAATATAAATCGAGTAGAAAGCTATCAAATTCAAATCGGATATAGAGATTTACAACTTCATTCGACTCGTTTACAACCCTATGTACGACCAATCGTTCTAAACTTCTAATTTTAAGGATTTGAAATTCAATATTAACAAAAGCTGAAAAGTATAAGCTTAAAAAAAGTTGAATAGACTACGGACTATTTAGAATTTTGGCATCGAGTAATTTTATTTAGGCTAATTAAGTGTGCAAAACTAATGGGTGGATTAGGTCTATAGGGGTATTTAATTTTTTTAGAAGGGGCACGTATGTGGGCTAAAAATTCCTATATATTGAAATATATATAGAAGATTATTGGCTCTTTATTGGGGGCAGCTGCTCCCTTCCTCATGTTGTGTATCCGCCCCTGTTCCTGCATTAAATTATGACACATGTCAGTATGTTGCACATCCCTATGTTGCCCACCACCTAGGACCCACTATGAAATTGACTTCCTACAACAACAACATCCAAGCCTTATATTCTCAAAAGAGATCAATCGTCCACACGTATATGCGCCCTTCACTTTGCTCTATCCAAATCCATATTCTCATCCAACCCAAGAAGAAGCATATAAGTTCTGCTTCCTCCAATCCAAGTCTGTTTGGGTCTCCCCTTCCCCCTTTTACTAGCTTGTTCTCCCCATCTCTCAACTCATCTAACAGGTGCATCACTCGGTCTTATACACACATGGCCAAACCACCGTAATCGAGACTCTTGCATCTTATCTTCTATAGGTGCTATTCCCATCTTTTGTCTATCTCAGTTCTCAAGCGGTCTTTTCTGGTATGTCTACACATCCGACGTAACATATGCATCTCTGCGACACTCATCTTTTGAACGTGACATTGTTTCACCGCCCAAAACTCTACGCCATACATTAATGCATGCCTGTTGTCCATTAAAATCTACCTTTTAGTCTAGTCGGCATACCTCGATCACATGGAAATCCAGATGCACTCTTCCACTTCATCCACTCTGCTCTGATTCTATGTGATACATCTCCATCTAATTCACCACTCTTTTGAATTATAGATCCCAAATAACGGAACATATCACACACGGTATCTCCTTGCCATCAAGGTTAATCCCACTGGTACTACTACTTCCATAAAATTGACTTCCTATTTTTGAAAAGTGATACTATCTTCCATTTTTCTTAGTTGCAAAATGTTGAGTTTTGCACTATTTATTATGCCCTATTTTGATTACATTTTACCTATTTATATATGAGCTTTTTTTTCCATCATTTGCAATGGAGCCAAAGATTCATTATTTTTTGGCTTGAGATTATGATGGAATTAAGCAATGTGGCTCACTAAACTGTCTGCGCTTCTTTGTAATGAAGCAGCAGTCAGTCCATGCAATTTTGGACGCGATTTTCACTATGGGTCATCCGGAAACAGTCTCTCTGTGCTTTAGTATAGGGGTAAGACTGCGTACATCCGACCCCCCCTTACCCCACCGTAGGTGGGAGCCTTTGCGGCACTGGGGTAAATGAAAATGATGAAATGATATATGAGCTTTTTTAAAAATATTTTTGAATTTCTCATTACAAATTTTCAAAATCTGATTTTTACGTTAATAGTAGAAAATTATATTGTTAGCCGACCCCAAACTCTTGTGGGATTAAGGCTTGCATGTTTTTGCAGTTGTAGAGAATAAAATATATTGATGGTCAAAGTTGTGCACGGGCAAATGTGAAAATGCAAGTGTTACAACTAAAAAAGAACGGATGAAGTATTATTTTCCTCTTAAGTTTTTCTTCCTAAACATTAAGTTGTTCTTTACGTTCTCAAATAACTATCCATTAAGTAAAGAAACTTTTTTTTTCAAATATATGTCAACTTAGCGAACCCACAGAGTAAGAGATGGTAAAACATCTCTTAATCCCATCGAGTAAAGAAACGTTGTAACCATCTACATCTATTTCACTTTTGCTTGTAGCTTTAATACCTAAAATTCAATGGGAGTATGTTTTTCAATTAATGGAAACATTCTTTATCACCTTAAAACACTTTTCTAAAAGGCATTTTCCACAACTTTTTTCCGGCAATCCCATGGAGTTTAAGATTGAAAATTAGAATCTAAATTGCAGACCAATCTAGTGAAAGAGAAATGCAAGTAGCATAGAAAGAAATATGCTTCTAAACACTATTCTTGGATGCTTCAAGCTTGTCAAGAGAGGGAGAGAGTAGAGAAAAGAAAAGTCAGAAAACATTGCAAGGGGTGCGTCCATAAAACACAATAAACTTGGTTAAATTTATACAAGGAACCAAATCATCCTTGAATGAGTATATTCATTGGAATTGTAGAGAGCTATGGTGATTTAGTAAATTTAGAGGTCTATTTCTTTTATTTCCATCATTTCCAATGGAGCCAAAGGCTCACTTTTTTGGCTTGGGAATATGATGGAATAAAGCAAAATGGCTCACTAAATTGTTTGCGCTTCTTGCTTATGAAGCAACAATTAGTCCATGCAATTTTCGACGCGATTTTCATCATGTGTGATCCGAGAGTAGCCTCTTTGTGCTTTAGTACATGGGTAAGGCTACGTACATCCAACCCCTCTTACCCCATTGCAGGTGGGAACCTTTCCGGCACTAGAGGTCTATTTTTTTTTCTTCAGTATCTCCTAATCTTATGATTCTAAACTGTTCGTTTTAATTTTCATGTATAGTACAATGATTCAGAACATGATCAAAGAAGGAAAAATTGTGCCTTCTGAAGTAACTATTGCTCTCCTCCAACGAGCTATACATGAAAATGGGAACGACAAGTTTCTTATTGACGGATTCCCCCGTAATGAAGAAAATCGAGAAGCTTTTGAGCGTGTTGTAAGTTTATTTTAAATTACAATATGCATTGGTGTTATCATACAGCAACATAGTCATCACTCATCAGGTATTCTGCCATTTTTTTATGTTCATGGAAATAATGTCTGATGTCTTGCAGACTGGAACTCTGCCAGAATTTGTCCTCTTCTTTGACTGTTCCGAAGAAGAGATGGAGAGCCGCTTATTAAGCCGGAATCAGGTTATTATATATAATAATAGCAATTTCTAATATTTTTTAGTGTGAGTTTTTCTATTTCACTGTTCTTGTTTTGTGATTCTTTGCATTGCATGACCTGAAGGGAAGAGAAGATGACAATATAGAAACAATAAGGAAGCGGTTTAATGTTTACATGGAGTCTAGTCTCCCTGTTATCGAGTATTACAAGTCAAAGGGGAAGGTTCAAAGGGTATAATTTTTCACTTTTTAACTTAAAATAAGAAATGAGCCTACCAGACACCAATATCTTGTGCTGCCTTTCAGATTGATGCTGCCAAGCCGGTTGATGAAGTTTTTGAAGCGGTTAAAACTGTGTTTACCCCATCAGGTGCAAAGGTAAATCGTTATTATTATGTGGTTTGGAGAACTATGGTTGCTTGCTATGATTGGAAAATGATATTGAGAAATACAGTGGTATATTTGAGTTTTTATTGCGAGTTGTTAGAAGCTATATAAACTGGTTGATAATAGTGGAATAAATCATGAGCAAAGTAAAAGCATTTAGTCGTTTAAAATGAAATGAAGGATGGAGATTGGAGTGGAGATTGGAGTGGAGAGTTACTCCACTGAAAGAATTTTCTAAGAAATTAACATGAAGCTTCATGTTAATAAACCAGATAGCTTCTTCTAGACTTTTAATCGGTTTCCTAAAAGATCCTCTTATTGGCCTTTTAACAAAGAAATATGTTATCAGGAAAGAATTTTGGTGATACATAGAAGAAAAAAAATTCTTAGTTGCTTATCTAAGAATATTCAAATAATTAAATGGTATATACTACGTAAGAAAGATGTCTTAGAGTGGTGGCTCAAGATCACATTGTTTTTACCTCACGTTTTTTAACTTCTTATGGATAAAATTGAAAACACATTTATTAATGCTCTAACAAAAACCACTGATCGAGTTTATCCAATGTTTGACTTCAAGTTTAAGTTGAGACTTAAAAAACATTTCAAAAAATGCCTGAGATATGGTTCTTTTCTTCATTAGTTTTTAAAAGATAGCCACTTCTTCTACAAACACTTCTCCTATAATTATTATGTTTACATTTTCCCACTATGCATGCTCGTATCTCCTATAATCTATTTACTTAGAACCTCAGGTGAAATTCTTATCGGCCCCTCCTAAAATCTCAACCGGTAAGTGGTGAAATTCTTATGAATATAGATTGCTTTCTATTTTGGGGAACTGCCTATGTGAAAACTAAAATTATCAAATAAAGGACTACCGCTTTCACTGTTTAACCTCTTCCATTCATTTATTCGCTTTCTTTTGGTTTCTGTTTTTAAGACCTTTATGCTAGAACCGTGACAGATTTATTATGCGTTACAGGTTGCTGTTTAAGGATTTGATTTGTGTGCCTCAGTGTGGCATTGCATGAAGAATTGGGATTGATTTTTGTTCTGTTATGCCCTTATAGAGAAAGTGAAATATAAGATAGTAATAATGATAATAATTTCATTCTTTTAAAGTTTTTAATATATTTGAACCATGTTGAATTCTTACAAGGTTCTTACTTACCTCTTTGTTATTTTGGTTTTTGTCATTTGAGCAAATTCTGAGAAATAAGATGTTTTATCATCGCTATAAATCTGTAATGCATTATTTGTGTCATGCACGCGCTATATTAGATTTAATTTGGACATGATTTGATCATTATCATCAATCATCATCTTCAAATGGTGAATGAAAAACAATTTGTTGGGCAGCTTTGTAAATTTGGTGACGGATGGCTTCGATATATTTTACCCTCAACTTACGTCTTGATGTAGCATGAAAGTTATCCATCCAATTATTGCATATTTCTTTTTCATTTAAACATTGGCGATAAAATCCAAGGATGACTCAGTCTGATCCAGCTGGATCCAAACTCCAATGTTACAAGTTATAAGTATAACTATCTGCAACTGTTCTGTGGCATACCCAGTTCACGAGTTGGTTTTTGATTACAGACTTACAGTTCTAGACTTGGTTCTTATTCTGCCATTCTGGGTTATAATCTATTTTGCATTGTTCTGAAACTAGGTCTTGAACTGGACTTGTCACAGAATTCAGTAAATGTTTCAATCGTGAATTTGAAAAACGGACTCAAGCAACTGACAAAAAACACTGTTCCAGAACTCCAGTATTGGGATTTGGGACTACATGTAAAAGAAAATTTCTTAAAACGATGTAAAATAAGATCAACATTATTTTGGATTTTTATTTTGAGTACTTTTATTTAAGGTTTACTCTTATCGGGATATAATCCTTTGTATTATATATGTAATACATAGTATATAAATACAACCATTTTTGGTGGTTAGAAAGAACATTTATGTAAAATTAATTCGGTGACATGTGAATTTTATAATGGTCCACATAGAAGCCAACTCAAGATTACATTAACATCATTTATAATCAAGAATTCATTACATGTAGATTTTGTGTCGGTCACACTGGTGTGCATATATTAGTAGTAGTAACAATAATAATTTAAGAGGTTTGGAATGGAATGAAAAAGTTGAGCATAATATGGAATAAAAAGCAAGCAGAAAGAGAGAGTGGACGCCACGGTAAAAAAAAAAAAGGAATGGATCAAGCCCCCACAATGTGTTTGAATGGCAGAGGTCGGAAACCGTGACTGAGGGCGGCTTGCCAAACTTTGTCAATATCCATTATTAGCATTTTGTCGCCGCAATCGTGCACATTCCACCCTTCTAAGGAATGCACAATCCCTCCCACCCTCGCGGCGCTCATTGCCCTCCTCGGCAGCCAATTCTGCGCGCAAGTTAATTGTTAACATGCTAATTGCATTTTTGTACGTACGTACATCCAACCAAGTAATTAGAAATGTCAAATGCATGACATGTACGCACCTCACAGGCATGCAAGTTGTGGAGAGATGGTGGGGCCAACATTGCTGGGGTGTGATGGTAGTGGCAGTCTCGACGCAGTTTCTTAGGCGGGATTTGGGAATATGGGATGAACAATGTTCCTTTATTTGCCATCTTTTGTTCTTCTTTCGATAATCTTTCTCCAACTATCCATATCTGCCATTTTTTACCACTTAATTCATAAGGACATCTATTGTAAGTAATAAATAAGACTATCAACGAGGGACGCCTTTTCCCAAACGTAATAATGCATCATTGCATTGAAATATACTCCGTCCTATAAATTATACTCCTATCAACAAAATGATGCATGCACATAACCTTTTAAAATATAATAAAACGTTCGATTATATGATAAGTACTTCAAAATGAGAAATGTGAAATGCTGAAAAAGTTTTTAAAACATAAAAGATACAAACTATAGGAGGGAAACCCACATGTGTAAAAATATAAAGTTATTTGTAATATAAAAATACATTCTTTGTTGAAAATACTTTCTAATTAAGAGTATATATAAATTTATAACTTCTAAAATATTACATTAATCAAAATTACGAGAATGTCATGTTTTTTATTCCCAAAATAGAGATATTACAAATAAGACTGTTATGTATAATTTAGTCTACTTTTGAGAATAAAATCATGACATTCCTATTTTTGGAGTTTTCAAACTGTTTTAGTCCTATTTTGGGTAATATCTCTATTTTGTTCGCCGAAATAGGACTAAAACAATTTGAAAATTCCAAAATAGGACTGTCATGTTTTTATTCCCAAAATATGACTAATTACTGCCATGTTTTGGCAGTACAAAACTTCAAACATGTCAGTATTTTCTAAACATGACAATAATTAGTCTTATTTTTGGAATAAAAAACATGACAGTCTTATTTTAGAATTTTGAAACTGTTTTAGGTGTTTCAAATAAGAACTTTATATTAGATGATAAATTTTTAGGTCGGTGAAGATCTAAAACAATTCAAATGATATCACATTTTTAATTAGACGGTGATTGTGATTTTACCTTTTGCGTGAAACTCTTAGACATGGCAAAATTACTCCCGCAATTGGCAGCCAGCTTAAGCTTCTCGTAATCATTTTCAGACGAAATAACAACCTGGATGGAAGTAATTAAAACGGATTTGAGTTGTGGAGAGGGAACGTATAGTCAATTCATACGTCGCATAAAATATGATACTCCGTACTACGTTACTAGCTACCTCCCAGAGCATATTGAATATTTTGTGTTAGTTTAACATAATTATTAATAAAGTCGATGAGAAGTAAACGTTGTGAATGACAATTGAATAGAATACTGTGAAATTATATGAACCACGTATTTTTTTATGAAATCAGAAAGAAAGACAACTATTTTGGAACAATCCAAAACGGAAGCCAAGACAACAAAATGAAAAAAAAGGAAGTTTAATAATTACCTTGATGCCTTTTTTACTTAACGCAAAAGCTAGCGAGATGGAAACTTTGGTGAGTCTGCCTCTAAGTCGGACTTCCGTCGTTTCCTTTGGGATTGTGTTTACCACTATTGCAGTTGCCAAACTACTTCCATCCACCAATTTAATTTTCATTTTAGGATACTTTTGGATATAAATCTCGCCGTTTCGGTTAAGTTCTTCACTCTGAGAATAATAAATTAAACTTCTCATTAGTCATTACTAATATTTACATGAGTACGTGATAAGGCGGGTCAAGGAATCTGGTATATACAAGGTTTAAAAGTAGCAAGATGCTAATTTAAATGGGAAAAACGAAATAAGATTATACTAAACATTTTAATTTAACAGACATATTAGCCTACCATAATTTATATCCGTCCCTGCTATATATGCGTATTAAAAATTAAGATGATGAAGTGATCGACTTGCCTGGTTGAGAAGTCCCAAGCTCAAAACTTTGGCACCTTTTGCTTCTGCTGCTAGTATGGCTTCCTCAATCAAGTTGTTGATCGCTTGTGATTGCCATTTAAGCACGTACTACAAACATAATAAGTAAATTAATTAAGTAAATAAATAAACATTAATAAGTATATGAGATCGATCTAAACTTTTGATCTCAATCTTCGAGTTTTTTCAATCAAAAGTTAGCACAAATATGGTGTTTTATTGTTATTAGCATGAGTTCAAAGAGGCTCTTTTTTCAAATCACAGAATAAATGGCACATTATAAATGAGTTCAAAAGTTATTTTTTGTAATGTATGACATAAGAGTTTTAAAATTTTCATTGTCAAAGGGTTCTCACTTTTCACTCAGCTATATATAGCGCACACACATGTATAGTACCAATGTATAGTATGTAGGTACCTGAACATTGTACTTTGGTATAACCCATGACTGTAAGCTGGTTTTGTCCAAAACATTTCTCTCTAGGATGAAAGTTTGACCATAGATCCAGTTAACGGCCATGGTCCAAAATGTGAAAGGCGATATCAACCAAATGAACCACTTATGTGTTTGGGGCAGGGATGCCCAAGAAGCAAACCCAACTCTTAAAAAGTATACAGAATCTGGAGTGGTAAAATGCGTTAGATGGACCGCATCGGGGGAGTCCTCTCCTTTCTTGAGAGATGTTTCATACAATGTGTCAGTTGACTTGTCCATTGTCCCATACATGTAATCGTAGAAGGGCATGAAGAGTGAATAATTTGTTCGAAATTGGGTGTGGTGCAACGAATGATACCTGCAGCACGTACACATTGTATGAGAAAAATAAATTAATGCATGTATTATGGTTTAATTAATGATCCATGCATGCCAATAAGAGAAATCTCGATCTTCTTTGTTAATTAATGGGTCGTCGACCAAAATTTTATAGTCTGGTCTGATCTAATCTGATATGATCTATTTAAATCTAGTCTGGTCTAGTATGAGACTTAAAACCGTCTAAATATAAACATTCTAATTTCTATACGAGGTAAGGTAAATAAGTAGGTAGTATGTTGTATTAATAAACTTACGTGGGCGTATACATTAGGTACTTGAGAGGGGGGAAAAGGGAGAAGAGGCATTTGGGTATGAGCTCAAAGTTGCAATGCCCCAAATTGTTCATAACGTCAATGTAAAAGATGTATCCGAAGATTCCAACAATGGAGGCAGTTCCGGTGAACACCGTTGTCAGTGTCGGAATTGCGAATAACAAAAAATATGCCAAGTGCTCTCCAAATGGATGAACTACAGCTGCATAATAAATAAATAAAACACCATATATAATTTATTATGAATAATTCATTGAATTCGTATTTTGTGAGAAAGGACATGCTTTAATGTGATGTGATGTGAGATAGCGTTATTTACATTACATACAAGTAATAGGCTCAGTGACGATGGAAGAGTGGTGGTGCGAGTGGTAACGGGAGTAGAGAAAATGGTGGTGCAAAGCTCTATGTAGCCAATAATAAAGAAACTCCACCGGACCGGCGTGCAAGATTACGGTCATTAATACGCCGTCCGTCCGCCACGTCGGCAACCGGGAAGCCATTGAAAATACAGCATTGAACCCATAAAAAAATATTCCGTTCAACAATATTTGATCGTCCCTGCAAATTAAAAACAGCTTATTTCGTAAATAAATCCATCACAACACGTGGTTATTCACTTATTACGTTGAAATATTTCTCAAAATGGACCGATTATATATTTATATACAAAGTATTGGTAATATAAAAATGAAATGGAAAATGTTCTTTGTTAAAAAAGTAAAGAGTTATTAAAATTTGCATTAATATACTAGTAGAAATAATTGATCAAAGTTTACAAATTTTTATTCTAAAATCAAAGATGGCTTACTAAAATGAGATGGAGCAATGGAGGTACTCACCTTTTTGGAAAGAGAACCCTGAAGGGTTAATTATCTAAATAAGAGTAAAAGGTAGTCAATAATAAAAAAATATGAATATTTTTTAACTCACTAGTAGGACTAATTATATGTGTTTGGACAAATATACCCTTGTAGCTATTGAAATGTTTTTAATTCATCATAAAATCATAAATAATAAAAAAAATTGATACAATTTTTATGAAATAAAATTATTAAAAGAATATATATATATATATATATATATATATATATATATATATATATATATATATATTAAAAAAAGTAAAAACAATCAAAAAAAAATAAAAATTTAAAAAAAATCACCGCCACCTCTGCCACCCCGGCAACACCACCCCTGGTCAACGAAAAAAATGCAACATGCATTAGTAATGTCATATTAATGACACTTTCAATGAAAATTTTGGCATTAACAAAGAGTAATATGTCATTTTTAGCATTTTCAGAAAAAATGACATTTTTAAACCGGTCGGATCGGAGGTGGTGGTTCAGGGCAGCAGCAGAGATGGTGGGAAAGGCATCCATATTTTCTTTTTTCTTTTTTATGAAGTTTTACTAGTTTTTATTAATTTTTATTTTTAAAAAAAATAAATATTTTATTAAATTCTTATTATTTTTCTACTATTATTATTATTTTTTACGATTTTATTATGAATTGAAACATTTCATTATGACTCTTGACAACCTTTTACTCCAATTTAGAAGAGGGGGTAAGAATGGAATGAAAAATACATATTTCCTCTGTCCCACTTTATTTGTCTTACTTTCTTTTTTGGGTTGTCCCAAAATAAGTGTCTTATCTCTTTTTTTGGAAAGAAATATGTGGTCTACATACATTATTTCACTTTATTATAGTCAAACCTCAACCACAACTTTCACTTTTCCAACCACTTTATTAATAATCGTGTCAAGTCAAAGTAAGACACATAAAATGGGACGGAAGTAGTATGTTTTAAAATAGGAGTGATATGGTCCTATTTGAGAATAAAAACATAAAAATCATACTTTTTTATTTTTACTCTAATTTTAATACTATTTGGGGTAATTTCTAAACCGTGAACCTTTGTACGCAGGGGCGTATCTACCGTGGGGCAGGGGGCAGTTGCCCCCACTCAACCCCCACACCCCATTATATATATATACCAAATTTTATTTATGTATATATAATTGTCTTGCGTATAGTATAAGATTGCTTAAAATCCAAAGTAAACAAAGATTGTACAGTAGCCAACTGGCTGAAGCGCTACTTGTTATTTCCATGCGTGCAAGGTTCGAATCCCCCAAGCTGCCATTTCAGCTTGACCATTTCAGTTAAATTTAAATCTTAAATTGCAATAGTCTATTTTTCGTAAGTTTAACCACTAATATTTTTCATTCCTTATTAAAAAAAAACAGTAAAAGTAGAGGAGTTTAAAAATATTTTTTACAAATTTAATTTATAATATATCAATAAATAAAATATAGTCAAAGTAGAATATGTTGTGAACAGTGAAAAAAATCCAATTTTGTAATTAAAGAAAATGGAGGTAGTATTTCATCTGTTTCTTATAAAAATTTATTTTATTTTTAATAAATTTTCGATTTTGAATCAATAATTGATTCTTAAAAATTGTGTGATAACGTTAGAGTAAATTTATTTAAAAAAATTAGTGTAAATTTGCCCCACACTCTGAATTTTTTGGATACGCCACAGTTTGTACGTGTTGTGTATATGTATATAGGTAAGGACTTTTAGGAGACTTTTAAATATATTGAAATTTTGTATCGAAAAGTATATTTTGTGGCCGGAGCATATATGTGAATCAAGTTAGTAAGACTAAAGTAGCTGGCTGGGTACGTACCAGTTACTTTCCCGATCAACCTGATCAAAGTCGATGGGCTTGTCGACGATGCGGTTCTTGCCGGTTCCGGTGCGATAACGGGAGTAGGCGATCCAAAGCTGGTTGTGAAGGATGCGGAAGAGAAGGAACGGAAATATCAACAAGTTTGTGTAGTCTCTCTCACTCCTCTCACTCCTCACAAATGAATACACGCTGTGTGCCACCCATGGAGCTAACACCACATACTTTTACAACAACAAACAAATAAAATCGAATAAGTTCATGATCCAAATGAAAAGCTAGCTAGCTAAGAATACTTAATACTGTATGTATGTATGTACGTAATCAAGGACATGCCGGCCGGCGCGCGGACCTTATAAGTTCCGAGGGGTGTCCACGGCCAATCGGTGAGGAAGCCCGGCGTGGTTGCCATTATCCAATGTCCTAATTAATTTGTTTCGATCCAAATTAAAGACCCTTCTCTTAGATTAGCTTATATTATTATGTATATATATATAGGGTGGAATGAATGAATGAATGCGCGCAATGTTGATTATATTTATAGGCGAAATGATCCAAGGAGTATAGTATGTACGAACGCATGCGAGCCGGGTTGCGTTATATGTTGTGCCAGCATACGTCTAATATAGACTACACATTACTCACCCCTTCTTAACTTGATAACTGATTCAATTTTTAAAAAGTGAAATTTACATGTTATGCAATTATATTAAAATCTCTTTAAAGTTATAAACCCCAAATTAGAACATACTACCGTCCCTTAAAACTTTATCAATTTTCCTTTTTTTTGGATTTCCACTAACTTTGCTACTTTCCTATTTAAGTAAAGAATTTGTGGTTCTAATTAATTCTCTCTCCTCTGCACAAAACTCAACCACACGGTTTTTACTTTATTAATCCCCGTGACGGTCAAACTTGGCAAAGTTTTAAGGGACGGAGGGAGTAATAAAAAATTGATAACCTAATGAAGCAGATCGATTAAATGAAACTGTTTGATCAGAATCAATTTTGCAAATCAAATTGGGACGGAAGTGATCAGGCCCGGTCCTGACATTTTATGGGTCCGGGGCGATACATATAGAGTAGGCCTTAAGGACAACGTGTGAATTTTTATTTTTGTTCATAAAAAACTATAAATAAGTATACTTAAACATTATTTTCATTCAAATACGAGTATAACATATCAAATAAATTAACAAAGAACGGTTAGAGAGATTATATTTAAGTATTTGATAATTGACATTCAAGAATATCATGTACCAAAACGGTTCAATGGAAAAGTAGAAAGCTTGTTAATAGTACATAATTTTGAACTGGGGAAAGACGTGAAAGTTATATTGTTTATGGAGTAAAATTTTCATATTTTGATTCATATTTTCACTAGACTAAAACAAATTGCAAGTTTCTAAATCCTGGGTACGCTAATTTAATCTTTCACTTGCACGACAGAACAGAAAAATTAGCAAAATATTATCGATGAATCATGAGTTTACATGAGAGAAGTAAATGAAAATATTGACATTTATGCGGTAACGTACACTTAATGAATCAAAAGAAAGTGTGAAATTTGTTCACAAACAATTCTGGTATAGATGTTTCAAAATTTTAGAATTGTAGTTTGTAGATGTTGAATAAAAAACTGATCGTAATGAAAAAATTATAAGTTTGATTTTATTTTTAAATTTGTATATATTAAAAAAAACATACATATATATAATAAAATTCTGGTCAGTTCGGACTCACCACAACCACTTTGCAGCCAAGCCCGTTTGAGGGCTTTCCGAATTACATTTTTTGATGAAATTTGGTGAACATGTTCGTCATGAAGTGTAGCACATTCGCTTAAAATTTAGGCTTAAAACTCAATTTGAAAACCAGTTAAATAAATTGTTGAAAAACACTGCGATTTTTATGCATATGTTTGCATAGTGTTTTTGAAGGATTTATTTAACTGACTATCGATTGAACTTTTTGATGAAGTTTTATGTGAATGTTTTACATTTTATGAAGAACGTGTTCACAAAATTTCATTAAAAAAGTCAACCCAAAAGGCTCTCAAACGGGATTGGTCTTACGGCGGTTCTGGTCAATTTGAACTGACCAAAATATTCCTCATATATAACTGAAAATTTTATGGGCCCTAGGGGAGCAATGGGCCCTGGGCGCATGCCCCTTTGCCCATGCCCCAGGACCGGCCCTGGAAGTGATATGGATTATTACTCCCTCAGTCCTAAATGGTAAGATACATTTACTATTCACTCGGTCAACATAAATCACTCATAATCTTTTACTTTATATATCAAAAATTTATGAAATTTGAATTATTTTTTGCAGGTTTTGTAGCGGTTTTAATGGAATTTCTGAATATGTGAATTGTATTTTCTAAAACTAATTTGAGAGTTGACAAGGATCAATTTGCTTTATCGTCAGTCAAAAATCATAAATCTAGTTGTATTATTACAAATTGGGATGGGAGGAGTATTATTATACTGAGTATAATAATAACAGTAATGTCATTTGCTCTATTTTTCTTTGTTGGTCCAATTAATACCTAATTAATCCTAGCAGCCAGCAATATGGTACCATAATTTCTGTCACGCCAGGGTACGTGTTTACGAGTTAGGACTTCGATGGTTTAATTTGACTTAATTAACCACGCAGCGCAACGACATTATTCCGATTAATGACCGCATTTATGTTTGGGAGACATTTGTGCAACTATATCTATCTATCTATATATTATATCGTAGAATATACGTACGTTAGTATTAATTAGATTGATAATTACTATTTTAAATATTTGATCACGTAATTCAAGTTATACTATTTATATTATTATTAAGAGAATTCATATAATTATAAATTTAGTTTATTTAATGATAGAGTGAACTTGTGTTTGTGTCAAAAATTAAGATTGGCCCACTCTTTCCTCTTCTCTCTCAATATGTTATGTATAAAATATATGAAATACAACTACCTCCTGATTTACAAACTAAAACTTATTTTGATCATGAGATGTGTTGATCTAAGGGCTATAGGGCGTACAATGACACTTCGATAATAAAATCAATTTTGTTAATATGCAATTGCTTATTTTATTGCAGAATAATATGTAACACTTTGAATGTTAATATTCATTGCAAATAGGTAGAGATTCGTCACTCAAATGTTTGCATAATAATCCGTAAACACTATTTGTACGTGATCCGCCCCATGTTAATAGGGTTTTAGAGAACTCATTTAAAAATTAGAACTACTTATAATGAGAATTGTTAATCACAACCTTTCATTTCGTTCAATCATTAGTAGGATGCACATGGTCGGAGTCCTTTTTGTAATTATTCAAAATTGAAACGGAGTATTTCTTATTGTTAAATTATTATAAAAATATCACCTTCTTGATTCTCTCCCTTGATATGATATATCAAAGGTGGAGTTTAAAAATACTCATTTATAAATGAGTTATCATATTAAAAGTACGGGTTCTCATTAGAACACTCCTATACACACATACATACATATGAGCTTTTGTATCTAGTTCTTAAAACTGCATCTGCTCCTTCAAGGAGCAGAAGCAAATATCTGATTGTTTGGGCGAAAGTGTAGACGTACTTCTGGGTGCTATAAATTTCTCTCAGAAGTAGTTTTTTAGAAGTTAAGGGATATCAGGTTTTGAAAAAAATGATTCTGATTGTGTTTCTGCTTTAAAAAAGAAGCAAAAGCAGAATCGACTCCAAACACCTCCCCCCACACACACAACACACACACACACACAAAACACACACACATACACACTAAAAGATCAGTTATTAGTCCAATACAGTTTAATATAAATTTGGTCTTCAGAAAATTGCATTAAAGAAAATAATTTGAGATATCATTCCATGAAATTTAGGGGTTCTCCTAATATATTATCAATAAAAAGTCATAGATAAATATATGACTCAGTAACTATTAGTGACTACGACATAAACCTTTAACAGAGTTATAAACACTAATAATTACTCCCTCCGTCCCCTAATATTGGGATGGAAGGGAGTGGTATGAGTTTTAAGAAAAGTAGAATTATGTAGTTGATAATGAGTTGATAAAGTGAGACTAAAGTAAGAATAAATTAGAGTCATACAAATGTTACCAAATATGGTATGAGACAATAATAGATGGATATCCAAAAATGAAAAAATGAGATATTTATAGGACGGAAAGAGTGTGTACCAAGTCAAATTTTTGTCCACCAATTTTTTGAGAAGTCATATTATTATTGAATTTTTTTTCAGACCTTTAATATACTGATTTCAATGGACCGGAGTTAGTAACTATATTTTCTTCGAATGGATACATATATCTTGACCAAAAACCCTGGATATGTCCCTGTTCATATACATCATATCTAATCCTGTTGTGAAATCAGATTTTCTTGATCTAAAGCTTCCCCATATTAGATTATATTAAAGAAATTTAATTATATAGATAATATTGTGCACAATAAAATTTAATGTGCAATTAACAAGGACTGGGAAGACTTTTCGGCTATTTTGAGTTTGTAGAAATGGCGAAGAGTACAATGATCGTCTCCGAATTTGACCGTAGGATTTGCTTGATTCTAGATGAAGTCTGTTAAAAAATAATTGATGAATTTTGAGTATTATATCTGCCGGTTGTAACTGTAATCCATTTGTTAAGTTAATATGGTTTGACGTTTTTCTTAAAAAAAAAAAGACAGACCATACCAATTGGTCTCACACTGCGTTGTTTGTTTTAATTAACAAATTTTAATAAATAAGTCAATGCTAAGAAACATTACAATAGTCTGTCCCTAAAAAATAAACTTAATTTAAATGTATCTTATTTTGTTTCAAAATGCGAATATACATTATTATTATATACTCTCAATCTGTAAGTGCCAATAATAAAACAACTAGACATAGTCACATAACTATATTAAAAAACAACTAGACATAAGTATACATCTAACTAATCTATGGTTTACAGCCATAATTAATTAGAATAGGAAATACCAATTAATTAAAGTTACAAATGACAATAGGACGATAGTAAGAGACGAGGACGCGTAGATGTGAAGTGTAACCTTTTAGGACCATCCTCTCTCTGGATGATGTAAAAAGAACCTCAATGTCAAAGCCTACATACAATACAATGATCTAATGTCAAACTTACCGTGTCGCATGCACATGCAGTTATATCCTCTGCTAATAGTTGCCTAAGCTACCCATATACTTAGTTACTATAATAAAGTTTAATTATTAGGCCATTTCTACGGAACCTTCAAGGTACCGTACCTTGAAGGTATGGATAAATCAAAAATTTTTAATTCAATAATTTAAATGTCAAAAAATATGAGACTTTGAGTTGGACCAATGAAATACATGCTAGGTGTGGTATCCATCTATTTTTAATTTGTTGAATACCGTAGCACGCACCTTATTATTATTATCTACATAGTATAAGATTCACGATGTTCTCGGTCGGTATATTATGGGAGGGCTCACGGTGAGCATCCGCTCCCAGAGCTCTTTTTTATTTTTATTAATTTCATCAAACCGGTGTAACTCATGCAGGGGCGGAT